GTTTGCCATGCTTAATCGATCAGCGGCTTGAATCTTGAAAATCCATCTGTTCTAAGCCGCAGATTTTACGCTGTGGCACCTTCTTGCTTGCTTGCTAGCTGGCAGCGTCATTTGAGCACTTCAGCATGCTCGTAGCAAGTGTCGCTTACCATTTTGTTATGGTGCCCAGGGGGGGTTTTTTTATGCCTTCGCTATCTGGCTGCCGGATATAAAAGCAACAACAGATTGCATAGCAATAAACGAGGATGTCGACATGTATGAATATATGCCATAGCATCTGTGTGTGTGTGTCTCTGTGTGTGTTTCATGCCACAAAAGACAACGCTAAGTGGCCTGGGGCGCAATTTTTGCCATTGGCGCTCGTTAAATTTGCATGTGCATGCTTTCACGTGAGTGTGTTTTCTCTGTGTGTGTGCATCAGTGTATGTGTGTGCCACACGAGGACGTGTAAGTGTGCCAGCGAGCAAAGTAAACGCGCAACAGTCTCCGAAAACGATTTGCGGTCTTTGGCTGTCTTCGAAAGCGTTTTTTTTTTTTTTTTGTGTTGCCACTCGCGGCAAGGAAGCGAGCCAACCTTCATTTGGCATGCAGCAAACGTGTCAAGGACAAGTCTGATGCAGCCACCGACTCGACACGCTGCCTACCGCTCATACGCCCACCCAACTCAACCACCAACCTCTGCCTCTGAGTTTCTTACAAGCACACGTGGAGAAAACAAAAATAACATTAGGAAAACGTACACTATCTGGGCTGGAAAAGAATATTAAGGATGATAGTTGATTTTAAATATAAATAAACTTTAGAAACTCCTCTTTTTTCATAGATTTTTTAGTAACATTTTGGAATTTAATATCTCCTTGAGATTTCTCTCACTGTACACCCCGCAATTCTCGGGCTGACGTAGCTGAAATTGAAATTGCCCATGCGAGGCAGACAATTGACAGGGCGGCAGCCCGAAATTATTCATCACGTTGTGCGTCTCTAATATTTATTTAAAATTTTACTTTGATTAAAATGCGCGTGGCAAGTAGTTCCCAGGGAGTCAACAAAAGGCAGCCACAAGAAATTCTCTCAAAAAAAAATAGAAAAATGAAGAATGTTAATCTAGAACCTAGATGAATTAAACAGAAGCGGGGAAAACGAAGAGACGCTTGAAATTAAAGTGGCAGTGGAAGTAGAGTAAAGAGCCTGAACGTTTTGTAATTAAAACTTGCCGGGCGCACTTGCACAAGTTGATTATGCGGCACACAGCCCCGTTATTCCCAGACCGTAATGTCCCCCCAGTTTTTACCCCTTCGTAAATCCTCTTTTTCCCATTCCTCGGCATCAAGAGAATGCTGTCAAAATCATAATCTGCGGCCAGGGACTTTTTCAGAGTACAAAAGAACGCCATGGCCGTTGACAGTTTTTGACGCTCAAGAATGCCAAACCAGCATCATCATACCTTCGGTTCACCAGGATTATGGATGCAGCCTTCAAAGCTTTTGGTGATGCGGATATTAGCGCATGATTGGAAGCCGCTGCTAACCGACATTGCAGGGGCTTTGTGCAGGCAATTAACACAAGCGCCCACAACACACAAGTCCCGCCAATGGGTGACCCCTATTCCGGGTAAAGCGAAAAGCAAAGAAAAACCAGGAAAAACCAGTAAGGAGTTTCACCACCATCGGTTCAAGTGCCAATCAAATTTGGGACTTCCATTATCTTTCCTGATGAATTTCGTAGCCCTTTTGTTGGCTTGATTAAATTACTTTTCATTATTTGCCAAATAAAAGCCAAAAAAAAAGGATAAGGCACGGCAGTGGCAAGGACAACGGCTGGCTTATACATTTAATAAGTTTATTAAAAGGCAAGGAAAAAAACGAGCTAAAAACGGCAAAAGGCAAAGCGGGTTATTATGGCAACAAGAGCGAGCGGGCAAAATCTTATCTAACAAGGAGGTTTGCCACCGACTCAGATCGCAATCCCTTTTTTATTGCCCTCCCTTTTGCACCTGGCGCCTGGCAAAAGTTGCGCGACATAATTGCTGATTTAAGGTGCTGCCTTAACTTCCCTCCCAGCCTTCTCAATATCCATGGATCCTTTGGATCCTTTGCCAGCCATTCAGGCAAACACATTGCTTACATATTTCACTTTCTGAGCGCACGCCAAGAATGCCAACAACTTTTGAGTTGTGCAAACAAAGCTAACGGCTTGGCTATATTCCCCGCTGAAAACCCACTACTTCCTATAGCCCATTGGCCCACTCCTCTCGTCTCCCTCTTATTTTTCCGACCGTGTGTCATTCGTGTGGTAACCTCGATTCTGTTTTAAGACCAAGCTATGTCCGCTGCAGGGAGATGCGAGATATGAAAGGCCAGAATGCAACAGAAACCCCACAACTTTCCACGCTTCACTGTACTGAGAGAAAATGTTAGTACAAAATGAAGGATTTTCTTGTAATATTGAAAATTATCAACAATCTCGCTGAACTTTCTTAATTTTTGATAAAGTCCTGCATTAAAATTATCATAAGTTATGGATAGCATGATGGTCACCTAAAAATGAAAACTAAGTTCAATAAATATGTTTTTCATTATGTTTAACAATTTTGATAGATTTAGGAATTGCACAACAGTTTTCCTCCAAGTGTAGTCAGCTTAAAGTTTCCATGGAAGCCGGAAACTGTGACCGAGTAACCACCACCCCAGCCCCCAGCCCGCCAGATCAACGCTTTGATCTTACAGCTTTCTGCTGCCTTCTGTTTTTGTTGTGCGGTCAACTTGGAACTCCAGGACTTCCTGGAGAAGGAGAAAGAGCAGGAGTAGAAGAAGAAGCTGGACCAGGACCAGGAGCACGAGCTGAAGCAGGAAAAGCGCCGTTCAACTCGGTGGTCAACTAGACAAAGGCTTAAGGTCCTTAAGCGGGATTATTACTTCACGTGTTGTGTGGCGAGAATGCTTCTGTGCCACTGGGAGTTAGTAAAAGGTTATTACGACATAGTTAAGGGAAAACCACGGAGGTCAGAGCAGTGCAGTAAGAGCTTTGTTTACCAACAGGCACTAAGGGACATAACTGAACACTTATCGAATGAATGTCAATAAAGAACTTGTTTGTAATGGATTGAGGTTGCCGATGATGTAAAAACAATAATGGTCTTGTAAGGAGTAACAGGTTGGCAAAGTAAATAAAAGCAGGTTGATATTAAAACGCAGTCTTACTATTACTACTTAAGTTAGTCATAATATAAGCTTGTTTTTAATGAACTTATAAAGCACTTCCTGATATTAAAACTATCTTAAAACATTCTAAGACCCCTAAGCCCCTCCCTTAACTTACTACTAATTGTAATGCCTTTTTGTAACCTTTCCCAAGCCTAACCCATTTCAAGATTTAAGCACTTTCTGGTGAGAATTTCACGCAATCAAAGCGCTTAACCCGCACACTCTTCTACGGGATAGCCCTCAATTAGCATAGAAATTGGGGCTGCTCCTTGATTTGGGTTTGGTTAAGGATTTGGTTAAGGGTTCGGTTACGGGTTTCCGATGACACAAAAAAAAGAAGTCGAGAAGGCGACAAAGTCTGACAGCTGTCAAATGGGGATTGTCGCATGTGTTGACGGATTAAGGAAAGGCAAGCAGCCTTTCTTCCTTAACTAACTCGGTTATTTCGGAGATATCTTAGCTGTGGCAATGTTTTGGGAATTAAATGAAAACAAATTGTCTCAACTAATTCAATTTCCACTCAATCAAAGTGCCAGCGGACGTGCCGAGCTGCAAGGATGCTGCAAGGATGCTGCTAGGATGCTGCAACACTTGCAAGGATGCAACAGCGGCTAACTCGATTGTCCCTTGTGGAATTTGCCTGCCAAAGAGGCCGCCCCACAAGTTTGTCCTATCGATTTGTTTGAAATTATATTTGAAAAGTTGAAAACTCAATTTAGTCCTGCCGCTTTATGCTTCCACTGTGTTTCTCAACCTCTCACCTCCCTCCCTCCTGTTCTCCGCACTTCTAAAAATAACAAACAACGTGGACAACTTTGGTGGATTCCTTGGGCCAAATGCAACAGTCAAGAAGTTGAGAAGCCTCTGGCCTCTGGCTGAGTGACCTCAGCGGAAGAAACTTTGCCCTGCCAGTGAATACAAGCATTTAGTTTTAAATAACATCAAGTTAACAATGAGAAGGCTCTTATTGGGTCGACTTTGATATACGCTAAGAAGGGTTTGGATGAATTTATTAATTATTATCAACTTGCAAGTTAGAAAAAGTTATAAGATTTGAGTTTTCTTTCTACACAAAACCTTTTTTGGTCACTCAACTAATCTTATTTTAATTTAAGAATATATTTCAACCCTAAAGGTTACACTCAATATAGCTTTTCACACCCATAGAGTTTCATATTGCACCTCACCAAATGTCAGTCAAAATAAAATACCCTAAGAAAGGTCAAGAAAATCACTGAATACAAGAGGGGCCAAGAGATAGCAAAGGAAAAAAAGAAAAGAAAAGAGGAAAGGCGACAGCGAGCGAAGGCCGCTCGATGCTCAAGTGGCAGAGCCATAAGCAAATCATGCCGTAACATAATGAGGCAACATAACAGAGTGGAACAGGACAAAGCCAGGACAAGGGGCAACCGGCAGTGGATGCAGCGGGCAGGAAGCAACTGCCACAAGCAAATTGCATCGCCAGTCGCCGGTTGCCAGTTAACGGTTGCAAAATTAGTTTAAACTTGGCGGAAGCAAAGACGTCCAGGAAGACAACACAGAAAGAAAATGTTTAAATTGGCTGGTCCCTTGGAAAATACTTTATTAAAAATCCTTACTTATATTATATATATTATTTGATTCGTGATTAATGAAAAAAACATTTAAATTTTAGGAATCTGTTAAAATATTTGAAAAAAAAAACACATTAAGATTATTCAAAAGACCCTTAAAGATAATATTCATTATTATGACATCCCCAAACATTTTTTCCCAGTGCTAACCAAGACTTAGAACTGCTTTTGTTGCCTCTTGCAGATGCTGCACCTGACCGGAGACAAGTCCTGGCATTCCGTGGAGGCAATGTAAGCATTCCGGGACAAACGTCGACGACAGCACATTAAGGAAGAACAACTTGAAATTACCATAAAGACCGCAGAGGTCGGGGAGTGCGGCGAGCGGGGACGTGGGCAGAGCGGGTAGCGGGGAGGAGCGAGCGGTAAGAGATGCGGTCGCTTAACAAGTCAGCGGCCGAGGAGGAGCTGACTGGCCTCAATGGCAACTCCAGTGGCTCCATCTATACCATCAAGGGCGACTGGATCACTGACTGGTGAGTGAGCAAGCTTAATATAATAAAGGCGCCTTTCAAAATTGTCATTTCTATTACAAAAAGCTTTTCAGAAAATTGAAAACCTTATTGTTAGGAAAATATGAGAACCTTAAAGTCTTTAAACTGATTAAAATATATTAAGAAAGAAGTTTCTTATAACTTAATTACTTATTTATTTATTTTCCAACTTTAGGAGCCTCACAAAGGAGCGCGATAAGGTGTGCAGCGCCTTGTTCAAGCGAGTCCTGACCCACACGGAGTGCAAGCGTCTCCTGGAGGCTGTCAAGATCTACGGGGAGAGCAGTGACTTCAGTTCCTGGTCGGTAAATGATCAGCTGCAATGGTACCGGAACTTCGATGTCAACAATACGAATCATTTGTTGGCTGTGAGAAATTACTCCTTGGATGGTGGTTCTACAATGTCGGGTTCCAATTCCGATTCAGAGATCCTTGGACCTGTTCTGCCGCCATTTGCCCTGTGGCAAACCATCCTGATAGCCATTTGCCTGGCCATCTGCATAATACTGACGGTGGGCGGTAATATTCTAGTGCTCCTGGCATTTATCGTAGACAGGAATATCCGACAGCCAAGTAATTACTTTATTGCCTCCCTGGCAGCCACGGATATGCTGATAGGTTAGTACTAACTAAATTCAATCCCTAATTATAAACTATAACTATCTTATTATAAATGTTTCAGGAACTGTTTCCATGCCCTTCTATACGATATATGTACTGAAGGGTTATTGGGACCTGGGTCCTGTGCTATGCGATCTGTGGCTCTCCGTGGACTATACGGTTTGTCTGGTCTCCCAATATACGGTCCTATTGATCACCATCGATCGCTACTGCTCTGTGAAGATCGCTGCCAAGTACAGGAGTTGGAGAACGAGAACGCGGGTGATCTATATGGTGACAATCACTTGGATCATTCCTGCCCTGCTCTTCTTCATCTCGATCTTTGGATGGGAGCACTTTACGGGCAAGCGGGACCTTCTTCCCGGTCAGTGTGCCGTACAGTTTCTCAAGGATCCTATCTTCAATACGGCCCTGATCATTGGTTACTATTGGACCACGCTGATCGTGCTTTTTGTTCTATATGCTGGGATCTACAAGACTGCCTACGATATGCAAAAGCGCAGTGAGGCCAAACAGCGGAAAATGCAATCCATGGTGGCTCTGAGTGCAGGGGCAATGTCCGGAATGGCAGGACATGCAGCGGGCATTGGAGTGATCGAGGAGAAGATACTCAAGACGAAGGTGGAACTGGCTGGGGATCAAACCGATTTGGATAGTGCCTGCACCACTGTGATCAAGAGGTTGAGTGGTTCTGGCCAGGCCAATCCTTTAGCTGCAGCCACTGAGGAGGTTGAGAAGATGACACCGGAACAGAGAAGAGCTTCGGCGGCCAAAATCCAAGAGGAAGCGAAAAAGCGAGAGGCAGCTGTGGATGCGGAGAAGAGTGAAAGATCTAGCAGTCCGGCGTTCGATTCCGATGAGGAATCCTCCGTCAACCAGGCCCAGCAGCTGATAACCCAACAGAAACTCAATAACATGAGGAAGAGATCTTCGATTGGTCTGGTCTTTGGGGCACAGGCAGCGTTGCTAGCCACCCGGGGCAAAGGTAACTTGCAGAAGAGCACCACCAACTCCAAGTCCATCAAGGCCATGCACCAGTACCACCACCACCAACAGCACCACCACAACCAGAGTCCGTTGCAGCGGGCGCAGAGCAAGGAAGAGGTGCGCTCCCTGCACCACCAGAATCAACAGAATCAGCACCACCACCAACATAACCAGTCCAATCCACCGCTGGACAGACCCAAACGCACATCCTGCTCCACCCTGTCCCAGATAGCCGAGCATGATCGTTTGGTTGACCTAACGGCAGCCCCTCCATTACTCAACACCAGTGATCCTTTGTCCCCCGTGGATTTGGCACCCATCGAAGTGCCCAGTGATCAAGTGCATCAGGGTCTGGTGCAGACCATATTGCCACCTCCCGATGCCTTTCAGTGCCCCACCCCGCTGTCCGACGACTATTCGGATCGTCCCTTTGGCAATAGTTCGGGTAACAGTGAACTCGCCCTGACCTATGACCTGATGACCAACTCGGAGCTGCGATACATGGACGAAAGCTCAGCCATGCTGGCCAGTGTGACGGCCAACAGCACAGCCTCACCGAATGACAGTGTCCAGGGGAAACCACCACCAGTCCTGCCTCCACCACCGCCCGCACGCCGAAATCCACCAAAACCGAACCTGAACCAAAGCATCAGTCAAACACCCAGCCAAAACCAGAGTCCCAGCCAAAGCCTGAGCCTCAACCTGAATCCGAATCACAACCAGAGTCAAAGTCAAAGTTTCGAGGAGGCGGTGGCCATTGAAAAACGTCTTCTCGTCTCGTACACAGGCATCGAGGACTTTGCCAAGGTGAGAAGGGAGAGCTGCATCGAAGCGATCTGCCTGCTAGATGTTCCCGGGAAGCTAACAGCGGACTGTCCCCATCGGAGAGCCTCCAGTCCAATGGAGACGAGCAGCAAAGATGCCATATTGTACTCTCCAATGCCACCAATGCCACTTTCTCCAAAGGTCAAGACTTCAACGCCCCAATCGGGAACGCCCCAGTCGGCGGCAGCGCCACCACCTCCGCCGCTCCTGGAGCGTATCGAGGAGCGGGAAACCTCGGATAGTAATACCAATAAGATGCCCTCCACCTCGGGCACCACCAGCAGTACGGGTGGGGCTGGCGGCGGAGGTGCAGATGGAGGTGGTAGTGGTACTACCAAAAAGGAGGCAGAGGAGCAAGATGTTAACAGAGAGGATAAGGGTTTGGCGGCCAGCCGAAACTCCAGTAAGAGGGCGTTTATCCATTCGATAGGCAAGCACTTCAAGAGCAAGAAGGCCCTGCCTCTGATCCTTGGAGTGGGTGGACGGCAAAAGTCAAAGTCTGAGAATCGTGCCCGCAAAGCGTTTCGCACGATCTCGTTTATCTTGGGCTGCTTTGTGGCCTGCTGGACACCCTATCATGTGTTAGCCCTCGTCGAGGGATTCTGCCGGCATCCGCCCTGCATCAATGAGCACCTCTACATGTTCTCGTACTTCCTTTGCTACGCCAACAGCCCCATGAATCCCTTTTGCTACGCTTTGGCCAATCAGCAGTTCAAGAAGACCTTCACGCGCATCCTCAAGGGGGATCTGCACATGACCTAAGGTGGTTTTTTGAGATCTAGAAAGGTTTAGTTGCTGGTAGTTGAGTTAAATCTTGGATGGATTCCCATTTGGCACTGCACTTGCTAAGAGGACCAGGCACTTGTGAGCCCCGAGAGCCTGGTTCTTACTGAAATCCCATTTCCCAGAACCCAAAAAATAACTCCTTAGGCCCATAAGTTTTCTATATACATATATCAAAACCCAACGAAGTGCTCCGCTAAATGGAGAATCGACGGGATCTCAGCCACCAGCAAAGTATGAAAACCAAACACTTATTAAATTCAAAATTTAATCGGTGGATGGGGAAGATAAGGTATCTGTAAGTAGCCAAAGGTGTGTGCAATAGTTAGAATCGTTTTGGGAGGGGGGTTAGTAAAACAAAACATAAAACAGGCTATCTGGTTTGGGTTACATCTAGGTCTAGAGTGGCACTAAGCGGGGCGAAATGTTTTAGACAATAAATATTTTAATGTTAATAACCAATCTATGATAACCATGCAAAATATATATAATATGCTAGTTAATATACCATAAACTAAACTTAGGCTTAAGTATATACACATTTACCGAGACTAGAAAACCCCACAAAAACACTCTAAAAAACATATCCCTCTATATAGAACGATGAGTCTTTTGTTGTTCCGCAGAATGAAATATCAATGAAAATCAGACATATGAATGATTGGGGTAGCCAATGAAACCCAAATGAAGCCCTTTGAGGGAACCCCTCAATGACAATTGCCAATTCGTCGAAAACTATCAAAAAGTACCTAATTTTTCTTAAAGAACATTTATACTTTGGCAGTTATTTATTTGTTTTTTTTTTGGGTAGGTAATAGAAATTAGTATATTGCAAAGATATAAACTGTGTTCAAATGTTTCGACGAATGGCAGTCGTCAGGGGGTTAGAGAATCCTGCAGCAGATATACGATTTTAAAAAGATACAAAAACCAAGAAAACCCAGCAAACATACCCACGTAATTGTCTATGGATATAGGTACATATATGCCAGACAGGTTCAAACAGTTTTGTGTGAATATTCATGAGTATAGCAGAAACATATAGCTACATAGATGTCAATTTTTGCGCAAGCCAGCAACTATACTTAAACGGATATAGTATAATATATAGACGTCTCCTTAGCGCCTTTGCCAAGTTGCCTAAAACTGAGTTCACTCTCATTCTAAAACTCTCTATCCTCGGTTGAAGTTTATTGTTATTTGTTATTTAACCGTTTCGTTAACCGATTCGACTCGTTTCAAGTTTTCCAGTGAGTAATGTGCTAAACAAAGTTTTTTGCCTTTTTGTTGAACGTTTCCTTTTAGCACGTAAGTGATAAGTGTAACAATAACTAAAATTATTACTAAATAAATAAATGAATGAATAATTGCAGTTTTAATGGAGCTATATTTGGGAGTGATCCATTTTGTTTAAGCGGTTTTTGAAACAGGTTTTCAATAAAGGTTTTTGTGAATCAGAAATCAAAATCATTGAATTCGTTTCAGCTTTGTTTATATTTTTTCCAATGTTGTAATTTTTAGTTTAAAGGAAATTTCATTGGTTTTCAAATATATTGTTTCTTTCAAAATCTATTCTTTTTTGAAAATACATTTCCCAAAACCCAGAACATCCCGTGTTTCTTTCAGTGTTGAATAACGCCTGTCCAAGCTTACTTTGAAATTAAATTCAAATTCAAATTAAAAAAAAAGAAAACGAGGGAAATTACGTGCGAGTGTCGATCGCCACGCGTAGTCCACGATCCGCAGTCAATGTGCTCAGTGGTGTTCCAGGTGCAGTGCCAGTTCCCACTTCCAGCTATAGTTAACCCACTTCCGCTGAGGTCCGTTCGAAGTCCGTTAATTTGAATACCAGCACCTTTTTTTGACCCGCCGCCTGCCCGACATGGAGATCTTTCTACGATTGTTGGCCCTGATTCTAAATGCCTTTGGCATGCTAGTGAACAAGATACTGGATTTGGTACTCTCTCGTCAGAAACCCAAATTTTCTGGCATCAGTAATCCCCTGCTAAAGAGATCCGTTATTGAGCTGGTCACCCAATTACGACGCGGCGAGGTGAGTGTCCAAGTCCAATCACGTCATTCGCGAGGCATTTGCAAGTCATATGTTGGGGTTCGATTCCAGATCACCTCCGTGGAGTTGGTTAGCGCATATATAGCACGTATTCAGGAGGTGAATCCTTCACTGAATGCCGTCGTCGAAGATCGATTCGATGCCGCATTGCAAGATGCCAAATTGGCGGACCAGTTTATCGCCAAGGCGAGCTCCGAATTCGATCGGGTAGCTCTGTACACCAAGTATCCCATTCTAGGAGTGCCCTTCACAGTCAAGGAATCCTGTGGTCTTAAAGGTAATAACTATATCTCTCCAATGTGTATTTAATTAACAATTTTTCTCTACAGGATTATCATTTGCCGTGGGCAGTCTTGCTCGTAAAAAAATATGAAAGCTGCCCAGGATGGCGATGTGGTGGAACTAGTTCGAGCAGCCGGTGGCATACCACTTTTGGTATCTGCCAATCCTGAGTTTTGCATGAGCTTCGAGACCAGCAATAATATCCAAGGGCGTTGCCTGAATCCTTATGATCTGCATCGAACTTCTGCTGGATCTTCGGGAGGTGAGGGAGCTTTGAATGGATGTGGAGCCACCACGTTTGGTGTGGCTTCCGATATCAGCGGTTCCATTCGACTGCCAGCATTATTTTGCGGTGTCTTTGGACACAAACCAACTGGTGGGCTTACCTCGGTCAAGGGTCATTTCCCTTACTCATTGACCGACAAGAAGTTCCCCAAGATGCTGCAGATTGGCCCCATCACTAGATTTGCCCGGGACTTGCCTTTACTATTGGAAATCATGGCAGGCGATAACAAACACAAGCTGAAAATGTCAGAGCCTGTAGCCCTGAAGGAAATGAAGGTGGTAAATCTCTAGAAATGTAAAACAGAAATTCAAATTTTCTGTTTCCCTTAGGTATACTATGCCTTTGGATACTCCAACCTTAACACTCTCACCCATCCCTTAGTGGACTTTGATATCAAGTTAGCCATCACCAAGGCCGTCAAGTGCTTGGAAAGAGGAGGAGTTCAAACCAAGAAGGTAAGGGAAATATTTGATTAGCCCTGCAAATTCTAACTAAATAATTTTACCTTAGTTGGATCTTAAATTCTTAAGCAATTCTTTGGAGATTGCTCTGGTTTCCCTGGTGGATCTAAAGGGTCTGCCCAGTATTGTGACCCAGCGGGCAGATCGGGATCCCTCGATGCGATTGTTGATGGTGGAGCTCTTTAATAGCATAATAGGTCACTCGATCTTCACCAAAGAGGCCATGGTTCTGGAGGTGATGAAGCGTTTCAATGGCCTAATGGCCTCTGGGAATATGGAGCAATATCGAGAGGAAATGAAGAAGATTAAAAGCCATTTAAATGTAAGGCAATGAATTGAATTGGTATATCCATCATATTTACTATCTCTAATCCTGAACAGCAATTGCTTGGCACCCGCGGAGTCCTCATCCTGCCCACCTTCCATACGAGCGCCCTATGTTTCCACACCTCTCTGTTGAATGTGACGGGGATCGACAATATGCTCCTCTTTAACATCCTTGGACTGCCCGCCACCCATGTGCCCATGGGCATTAACCAAAGAGGGATGCCTATTGGCTTACAGGTTGTTGCCGCGCAATACCAGGACAAACTGTGCCTGAAGGTGGCCGCCGAATTGGAGGCCGTTTTTCACGGCTGGGTGCCACCAGTGCCACATGCCACAGATGCGAAGTGAAGATCACTGCACATCTATCCAGTTAAGGTTCAAGGTTAAATTTTGTTTTTAAAAGCTGTAATAGAATTGTAAAGATTAAAGTGAAGTTCGTTTAATATATGATTGTATGTATATAATCGTTTTCTTGGGTTTCCAATTCTAAGATTTCGATTGTTATGTAAGAAAACAACTCTATTTGAACTTGAAGAAAAAGTTACAAGAAAACCCTATGGAGTACACAAACATTGATGTTATCTCGACAAACGATGTTCGAAGCAGTTGGTCACTTTAAAAATCGATTCGATCTCCTTCATATCAACATTTTCGATAACTAAAAGCCTCAGAAAAACTAGTCATTTGTAATTTAGTTTTATTGGTGACTTTATTAAAAATGGGTAAAATGTGGAGTAAAACTAAAGTTCGAAAGACTGTAAGTACTCAAAAGTTTAGATTTTCCAGCTTTTGTCAATTTATTTTAACTTGCAGGAGGCTAACGAAAACGATTTTGAAATTTTGGCAAGTTTATTAATTTTTCTGCATGCTTTCTTTATACATTTCTTGCCTTTAGGAGATCCATGAAGTCGTTTTTATCGATAGACTTCAATTTGATGCCTTTAGGTTTGCGAACGCTAGACCTACATTTCAAAGGTATGTTGGCCCACCTAGACCACGGGTAGGAACTGGACCTGGACCAATCAATCAGGATTTGATGAACACTCAGCGCATAGAAGAGTTGGACCCGTCATCAGATGAGGAATTTGAAGATGCGGTGGGAAACACTTAAAAGCTAGAAATTATACGCTAATGTAATTATATGCTTTTGGAACATATTTATTTATATGATAGTTGCATGTAAAACATGTAAATACATACATACATAAGAAACCATTCAAATGTATTAAACGATTTTGCCTAAACGTATAATTTACCACTTAAAATTCAAATTTGTTATACTGTGCCTGCACATGGAGCGTGAGCTTTAACTAGCCTCTCTCCCGCTCTCTCGTTTCTGTTGTTTACGTTTTGTACTAATTCTCTCATTATCCAGTCTCTGACACCTTCTCTTGATGCTTAAATTCGACTCTCCGCTCTCCAATTCCGCCGACCGGTTAGCTTGATCAGATCGTTTGGTTCATTCTCATTTATTTCCATTCTCTCCGTGGACGCCCTATCAATCGGTTCTTCAGCGCAATGGAAATATTTGTGCGAGTTATCTTGATTTTTGTAAAGGTGTTCGCTTGGATAATCTTTCCTATATTGGACGCATTTGTTTATCCTCGGAAATCCAAGAGGACTTTAATACCTCCAATTAGAAACCGGCTGCTCACCCTCAGCGTTCAGGAGCTGCGCAGTCGCCTAAAATCCCGCCAGGTAAAAAATATGTATACTTAATTCGGGGCAGTTAAATGTATTTCCATTTAAAATCGTGGAAACTTCCAAAGTTCAATTTTTATAATAAGGTTTTGGGGTTGAAAGTTCTTATTCCAAGTTAAGGTCAATAAAATTCGAAGAGGATTAAAAAGCAAAGTTGTTCAGCGTTATCTTTCTGACTTACTATCAAAATGTATAATTTAATAAACAGGCTGAGATACTCCGATTTCAAATAAAGAAAATCATTAAAGATATAAGTATTGCCTTATATTTAATTTCGTGATTGTTTGAATACATTGCCTGCATTTTTAATGTTCTGTAATTATAAACAATAAACTGAAATGTTTTTTACTTAAATTTGAATACCGTAAAGTTTTGATACATAAAAATGACATATTTTCTTATCAGACGAACAAAGTTCACAGAGATTAGTCAGACTAAATACTAAATAATAGGGTAAATGATAATTTCTAATTTCTTTTGTTTTTTATTATTTTGTGTTTTTAGTTAACTTCTGTGGAATTAGTGCGCACCTATATCGAACATATCGAAGTTGTTAATAAACATTTAAATGCGCTGGTGGAATCTCGTTTCACCGCCGCTCTGGAGGAAGCCACTGAGACTGATGACCTCATAGCCAGTTGCAAAACTGCAGAAGATGTGGAAAAGCTATTTGAAGAGCGTCCATTACTGGGACTACCGGTGACCATAAAAGAATCTTGTGCCCTTGAAGGCATGACCTTTTCTGTGGGCAGTCTGGCCAGAAAGAATATCAAAGCTAAAGCTGATGGAAAAGCTGTAAAGCGGTTGAAATTAGCTGGGGCTATTCCCCTCCTGGTTTCAGCTACTCCGGAATATTGCTTTAGCCTCGAGACGGACACATTATTGAATGGCACCTGTGTGAATCCCTACGATTTCGAGAGGACACCAGGTGGTAGTTCTGGCGGAGAGGGAGCATTAAATGGAGCTGGTGCATCTCTCTTCGGCATTGGTTCAGATATTGGCGGTTCCATTCGTATTCCCAGCTTATATTGCGGCATCTTTGGGCACAAGCCGAGTGGAGGAGTTGTCTCCGTAGAGGGGCACTTTCCCAACTCAACAGACCCAAATATTGAACACTATCTTGTGGAGGGACCAATGACTCGATTCGCTGGGGACCTGTCGGAACTCCTCCAAGTAATGGCGGGCAAAGAAAATTCAACCAAGTTGCGATTGAACGAACCTGTGCAACTGAGTCAGATTCGAATTCTATATTCTCTGGGCTTCGAAGGTATCAATGGTTGGATGCATGTGTCGGTAGACAAAGACATAAAAGATGCAATTTGCAGAGCAACAACGCACTTAAAGAGCCTAGGCCTGGAGGTGAAGAAAGCGAAATTACCAAATCTAGAGAACTCTGTAGAGGTTTCTTTATCCGGAATCGCAGGCCAGGATTTAATGGATTATCTACTGGAAGATGACCATGCAGATTCGAGCAAAGTGCGTGAAACTCTCTGGGAGATTGTGAAAAGTCTAAGAGGTCACTCAAGCTATACGACCAATGCCTTGGTCTTTGAACTAACACGACGCACTGATGCCTTTATGTCAAAATCAAAACTGAAATCGTATTTGGAAGAAACTAGCGAGCTGATCGGGGAATTCAAAGTAAGTACTCAATTACCTAGCATGCAAGCTCTGACTAATCCCATATAATTTACTGTACCATGTCTCAATCTAAAAATAATCTGATACCTTAATTACAATATCTCCACTCACCATAATCTCCCAGTTTTTGTAACTATATTTATTTTGACCTTTGAAGCACTAAGCAAGAGCAGTTAAAGAGGAATACAATTAGCATTTTCTATATTTACACATTTGTACTAATTGAATGAATAATCATTTAATAGGGAAATAACAAATTAATAATATTTATTCATAGTAACTTACTTGTATTCTTTCTCTATCTAGGATTTACTTGGAGATAATGGCGTGCTGATATGTCCAACATTAAATCTGCCTGCTCCGAGACAAAAGTGGTCACTCATATCCCTCTGGGGCGTTGATTATACACTGCTATTTAATGTACTTGGTTTGCCCGTCACCCATGTGCCAATGGGCCTGAATGATCGCGGATTACCCATTGGACTTTCTGTGATTGGAGCACCCAATCAGGATCGATTGTGCCTCCGTGTGGCTGTGGAGCTAGAGAGAGCCTTTGGAGGATGGAAGCCGCCTGTTTCACACGACCTTGAGAACTAACATGATCACAAATCCGACAACTGAAAGATGGAAAACCTCAGGAAATTTAAAAAAAAAATATTTGAATCTTTTTCTAAAATGTTTAACAAATAAAAAAATATTGTTAAAGGTTCGTGTCCGGGCTAACATTTAAGTTTATTTCCAGTTTTTGAACTTCTGTTCTGTTTGTAGTGTGACCAGGGCCGAATTCTTTAAGTGTGTATTTTATCTAAAAGCGCCCATGCGGACAAAACGGGAAACAATGTGGATTCTGTGTAAGAAACATATGTCAAGTCTGAAATTCATACTCTAAATTAATATATTTTTTGAATTATTTAGAATTTCAAATATATTAATAACTCACACTTTCCGGTTAAGCCCGACTCAATAAAGATTTAATTTCTTAAAACCAAAGGTTATTAATATATTTCGACGGAAAAGCGTTGACATCTAATAAAAGTGAATTTGAAAGAAGCCGCGCATCGCCTGTGTTGTTAAATTCCCAACTGCGTGTACTAGTTATAGCTGACAACAGAGAGGCCTCATCACCCTGACGTGTTTGTTAAAATACTCATGCGGTCACACCATTAGCTTCTTTATCAAATTCGGTTATCAAATTTTGTTTTGCGCCCGTTGTTCGTGTTGCCCATTCACTCGTTCATTCATTCGTCTTTTGATTTTCGCTTCGAACGGTTGTCTCTACACTTTTGTGCAACCAGTTCGAAAAAAAACTTTACTCCGCGCGAAAATCGTAGGAAGTATATAATACTAGGAAATATTACTTAATAATTTCTGGTTAAAAAAAAAAAACATTTATAAATCTATATAAAAAAGGATACAACCAATTGGACAATAAATAGTTAATAATTATTAAAAATAACAAAACGCGCGTTTTCTGACTAATGAATTAAATAAAATAAGTGTGCGCGCTACAAGTGGAAATAAAACTTGATTTCTGGGCCCCCCGACATTTTTGATTTCAAAACACACAATTTAACGGGAAGTGGATCAACAAGTGGCTCGGGGATTATCTAATAAAGCCCTCCTACCGAAAATCATACTTAAATAATATAGATTATACGGGCAACTACAACAACAACAGCTAGAAATATATATATATCAATTTTAAAACAACCAAAGGCCCCCATGTATGTGTGTGTGTCAGTGTGAGCGCCTGCATATGTGTGTGAATCGAGAAACGCAGAGCAGCAGCAACAACAACAACGCTACAACGGCAACGTCAACAGCACGCAACAACAACAGCCACAGCAACAACGGCCGCTGTGAGTGCGAGGGAGACGGCAACAGCGTGAGTCATATAAGTGAAATGAAAATGCGGATAAAGCGAGAAGCGCCGTGTCTTCTGTTATTTATGCCAATCCAAAATACCAACAACAACAATCGCATTGGTGGTGAGTACAAAATAAATAAAACATTTAAAAAAAAAAAGCAATAAGAAAAATCGTACAATTTAAGATTACACTTAAAGCAATCAAATGAGAGAGATAGAGATGGGGGAGCGAATTAATCTCTCTCTCGTTCTCTCTTGATTTTTACCGCTTGGCATGCTGTTTACTTTTGCAGGGGCGCGAAAGAGAGGGGGCGAGCACACGTAAGCGTCTCCATTTCATTTCTACAACAGCAAAACCAAAAGCCAAAGGAAAAAAAGAAACGAACTCGAGAGAGATCAGAGACTCAGAGTCAGTTACTTTATTTTTCTTTTTTATTCGCTCCATACGTGACTCACAATTCGCGTGTCTTTCAAAAATAAAAGCAAAAGAAGCGTTTCGGATTCGTTTCTGTTGGCTGGTTAAATAAAAAAAATACGAGTTCAAAAATATAAAAAAACAACAGAAAAAATGTAAAGCAAAGCAGGTTTCTCAAGCGGCCTGGCAACGCTGAAAAACCCGCTTTGAAACGACCTTTCGAGTACGAATTCATCGGCACAACAACAAAAACAGCAGCACACATTACCAACTACAACAAAAACAACGATCGTAGGGTGAAGGGGAGCAAAGGGAGAAAAAGCAACAGCCGCAGCAACAACTTGAAATTGAAGTTGGGAGCCAGCGAGTGAGTGAGAGAGAGAGAGGGAGAGGAAGAGCAGGAACAGATAGTTGCAGGGGGCCAGGGGCGGAGCACGAAATGGGGGACTGCAGTTTAAACTTCAGAAGACAATTTAATTTAGAAATTGACAATAAAACACACTACCCTTCTGATTAAGAATCATTAATCTTAATGTTTCTTATGGTAAAATCATGAGCTATTCTGAGCATGAATTTAAATCTCTATTAAAAAACACTCAAATTTCAATGGTTGAATGCATTAAACAAAACTGTTTATGTTAAAAGTAACAGTAAACCGAGATGTAGAACTTCGTTGTAAAGTAATTAAGACCAAAAACATCCGACAGATCCAAAACAAATAATAATCAGATAATAAGTAAGTTCTACACTTAAAATGTAATTAAAAAGATTAAGAGAGAGATTAGATTCCTGCTAAAAACATCCTTAATTGTAATTTAAATCTTCAACCAAAAAGTTAATCAAAATGAAAAACAGAAACCAAGTTGATAACTTGTTTTTATGAGTAAACAAGCCACTGTATACTAATTAGCACTTCCCTATTTTCTACTCTCTTTCACTCCACTTCTTTTCTCCCCTCTTTTCAAACCCACACACTCCAGAAAGCCAGACGCCCCTGGAGACTTGCAATGCACTATTGGCATGCGATTTTACTTGTTTTACTAGCCGCAAACAACCACAGCGAACCAAAAAAAAAAAAAAAAAAAATTGAACCAACATTTCCTGCCGCGGTGAAAAGTTGGTTGTATTTTTTTGTAGCTGTTGCTTGTTTACTGTGTTGCTTTTTGGCTTTTGAGGTCGCTTGGCTGATAACAGCAATTTTAGTTTTGCCTTCCCAGCATAAGACACCTATGCTTGTGTTTTTAGCTGATAAAGTCCAACCTCCTAAAACCACTTTAAAAACATAATACAAACTGTAGAATTCGTTATCTTATCGCTTCTAAGTTGATAGAGGTTTTAAATGATACAATTTCATTAAAGGGACAAGCTTAAATCAACATTTTTTGAAGTATATAATCTTAATGAAAGTCTAAATAGCAGTGCTAATAGTATAGTCAAAGCAATTTACATAATTCACTTCATTAAAACATTATATAATATATAAATGCGTAGTAAAAAAATGATATGATACGGTTTCAAGCTCTAAATATCCGAGATCTTATGACCTCAGAATAATTTTTTATCACATCAAAAGTCCCAACTATTTGCCATTCACAGCTTTTGTACAAACTGTATGCTAGCATGATATTGCTCTTATTTTACTATAAAATACTATCAAATTGATATCGGTCGAGCTTACAAAGCATTTTCTAATTATGCCTGTTCATTGTGATAAGCGACTGTGGAATACTTAAACTTGCCATTCGCTCGCAATCAGGCGAAAAAATACAAAACAAAAAATAAACTCTAGAGCCGAAATAAATGTCTTACGTCAGTTTTGGCAGGCGGCATATCGAAACGAAATATTTTTGCGGTTTATTTGAACGCGGGACCTGGCGCGACAAGTTTTTCGCACTGTTGTGGTCCATACACAGGCCGTGCTGACATCATTGGTTATAAAATTAAGCAAATCGCTAACCGCCAATTATAATCAGTATTTAAAACGTCGTATTAATGCGTATTTATCTGGTTTACTCTTTTTATTTCTCCTCTCTGCAGCCAATCAGAAGGACTATCCCAACAAGCGGTCCAGGGAGAATCTGGCATGTGACGAAGTGACATCGACGACGTCATCATCCACGGCAATGAACGGCGGCGGACGGACGCCGGCGCTAACCCGCAGCTGCTCCAGTCCGGCGGTCTACGGTAAGTGAAAGCTGCGAAATGGGGAACCCATCGAAAGGTATGCGACCCGAAGACGGGTTTCACAAAAACAGCTCTGTGACTCAGTTAGAAATGGTTTCGCAAAACGAGCAAAGTTAAAGAAAATGCGGGGCTTACATTTTGGCAAACAGTCGGTGGATCGTTAGGAATAATGGTATGCCATTAAAAAATAGGTTTATATTTCTATATACCAAATAAGAAGTGGTTTTGTTTAACCACATATCTTATTCAATTTGGTCGCAGAAACGGAAATGTTCGTTTCCTGATTTGCTTCAATGATTCATAGGAGATTACATACCAAAGTTGGTCACATTTAGTCATTTAGTAACCAAGTTACTGAAGAATTCGATCAAGAACGGAACTCAAGGGGGCACTAAGTGCATCTTTGCTCGATCGAGCAAGCAATCTCTCGATTGTTCTGCTGTTGCATATTTGCATGTATAGTGCTGTTTGTGCTTATCATTGCATTTCATTTCCTACTCGGCCTAAGTTCTCTTCCCCATCCCCCAACTCCCTTCACCATTTTATGATAGTAATACATGGCGATAAATTGTCTCAGATTGTCATACAATCTTTCCGTCATTTGGCCCCTTCTCTTTCCCACACTTGTGAGCTCTGCTTTAACATTAAAAACAAACAGTTTTGTTTTTGCTTTGGCACGTGCTGTGAGATAAATCGCTCGCTTTATACGACCCTCTCACTCGCACCTTTAACTTGTATTTTTGCACGTTACGAAATCGAGCGTACGTATGTCTGGTACTTATGTATGCATGTATGTATGAGAAATATGCGAAAAGCAGCAAAACACATGCAAAACAATAATAACAAAGGTAACAACAACAATGACCGTAGTACAGTGAAATTTTCAATGTCAAACTTTTGCATATTACTCATATTTACTCACTCACTTCACTTGGGAATCATACTTAATCTCGAGCTTGAGTGTGGGGTAACCCTCAATCTATATCTTCGCATTCACATTTTTTCACCTGACTAAGGTGTGATCGCATCGTGATGTTTCCTTGGGCCTCAGTATATTCTATATAGCAATGCATCATCCATTTATAGATCGGCTATTTAAAATTCATTTTGAATATACTAATCTCAATATTAGATTAAAGGGTTTAATCGCTGGCATTTAAAAACCATTTGAGCAGTTTTGCAGTAAATCAAATTATAATGGTTTATAGGTCTTGAAAAGTCAAACTTATTTCAGAAGGAATAGACAGAAAAGAGTCATTAAAATGAATTATTATTTTTGATTTTAATAGCAAATGGAATTACCAAATGAATAATCAAATAGACTGCAATGATTCACAATAGGTCAAATAAATAATCACCAAAAGTGCAAAGACAAAGGAAACTCCCAAAAAATAATCATGTTTTTTATAAAATTGGAAATGCCCTTTAGGGTTACTGATGATTGGTGATCGATTGCTGGGTTCTATAAATCCCCCTACAGTACAAAGTTCGATATTAGACTCTCGCAATTCTTGTTTATCGACACGTCAACTGAGTCACTGTGTATTTATTTATGAAATCTGTTAATTGCATTCTTAATATACTACTACTGTGTACATGTATAATCACATGTATAATCTATAAGTAGTGCTATCAGAAGGCTTGCGTAAATGCCGTAATGACAATCATCTTTTACGTGTAAAGTTCCGACGTGTTGTCGATGACTAATGCAAGTGATTTCCGTGTGACCCACAAAGTGCAGTCAGCCCCAAAAACCAAACAACAAAATAAATATAAATGGAATACACGAAGTTGAGTTGCCATGGCTCTGAGTGCTATCAATTAACACGCAAGCCAATGACAAATAATCGATGAACAAGGGGTGTGGGGAGTAGTTCAACAGAGTGGGGGTATCTTTGGCCAAAACCGCAGGGCATATGCTGGTCCCTGGGACCGCACTTCAATCTAAACAATACACTTAGAAAAGAAACTTCAAATTTTGAACAATATCCAAGAGATAAATATTCTAAGCGGTTATAAAGTTTTTCAAAGTTCTAACCAGGTTTTAAACTGATAAAAGATCCTTGAATATAGTATCTTTAGGGTTGTTTTGAATTTAAGGTAGTTTTGCTTGATTTTTTCAAAGTGTAGTTAGACGGTGCACAATTATAGATACACATAGAGAGGGAAGAAAAAAAAACAATTGCTTGGCTCATTGAGAGTGCTACGAACTCGGGGACGGCCATGAGGCAACGTGAAGCCACCCCTCGGCCCGCTGACCGCCTCGGCCTCCCCTTCCTCCCCCACCTTAAACTTCGCCCACTGCCAATAAAACTGAACCCAACTGAACTGAGACTATGCCTCTGTGTGTGGCATGACTCATGCAACAGCCACAACGGAGGCCCCAGCAGACGAATCCAATCGAAACGAAAACGTTCGAAGGGGGAAGGGAGGAGGAAAACACAAAAAAAAAAATAAACAATTTGTTGTAGCAAAATTTAGACGTTGTATACAACAATAGATACAGAAAACAGGGCCAGGCCATCACTACTACTACGTACGATTGTACACCCAATCCCAAACCCCCAACCTCATCCTCATCACAATGATCATTTGCCAGACTCTTTTGTTGCATGACATCGCGAATTGGCAAACTTCCACCGAACGATATAGAGATACATAGATAGAAAATGAGAGAGATCCCCCCGACAATGGGCACTTTTTGTACGTCGTTTGGGGCAGCAAGAACTTTTCCATTATTTACTCATAAAAACTAATGATCCGATCCGCATGTATCTTTCAGATATAGAAACACATCCCGCCTCGCCCGTTTTCCCGCATCTATTGCTGGGCAATGGCCGCGACGCCGACGATCCCAGCAGCGTGGGCGCTAACTGTGTGCTGAACGTTACCTGCCAAAGTCCCAATGAGAGCCATCTGCAGGGTCTCAAGTACATGCAAATACCTGCCAGCGATACGCCCCATCAGAACATCAAGCAGTACTTCCAGGAGGCCTACGAGTTTATCGGTGAGTTTCTTTAAACAAAAAGATTGATCAGCATAGCATCATACGTTTGATCTTAAATCATATCGATAGAAAACGGGGATCATTTACTATAGATATTCATCTACAAAATTCTTAACCGCAAGTTCAGCTTAAAATTTGGTTTAATGTTTCTAAGAGGATATGAGAGTGTTAACAGCATCCTAAGACCATATTGATAGTGATTCATACATTCTTAAGAAACATCTATGAAATTATTAAACCCACGATAAGAAAACAACGTTTTTCTATAAAAGAAATACCAGGATGATGACGATGCCAACGACTCATTAGATTATACATCTTGATTATAGTGAAATTTTCCAAATATTTGCCATAGATTAGGAATGTTAACTTTATCTTGGAAAAATAATGTGAAATTCTTTAGAAGCTATAGCTCCCCGAATCGAGTCTGAGAATCCGAGTTACGCTTAGTCATCATCTTTGGCGATTGGCAATTGTTAAACGTGACTTGTTATTGGATGCCTGGCGGCGGGCTTTTTCAGCGGTCAGACCGGGCTCATTTGTGGATTTTGCATAACGGTTTTAGTCTGGCTTCCACTTCCCTTTCTTCTGGTTTGGTTGGAAAATTCGTTATTGACTTTTTTGTTTGCCCCTTTTTTCGGTGTATGTTGTTTTTGGTGCTTTTTCATTTTGTACGGTCTTGGCGTTTTGTGCTGCCTTCAGCGCTTTTCCCACACAACCAAGCACACTATACAAATTGTTAATTTTAAATGAAAATAATAATATGTACCCCGAACGGAAAAAAGGGGGCAAGGCGGCCGGAGAGAGCTTTAGCCGTGGAATATAATGCTGACGTCAATCGCATTTTTCCATTTCCATTTTCTATGTCCATAGCTGTTCATCAAGTATTTTTGTTTTGCATTTTTTTTTATATATATTTGTTTTTTTTTATTTCCAAGCTAATGTCTTGGCACGTGTGCACGAGCTTTGTCGTTCTTATTGCTGTTTTTTGTTTCCCCGCATTATTAATGTTTCTGTAGCGTCTGTGATTTAAGTAGTGCAAATATTTCATTTAAAACAAGCCCGAGAAAAAGTGAGTGGGCGGTACGAACGACGACCTCCAAACTAGGTGTCTTTATAAAGTGATATTAATATTATAGTAGATATTGGGATTGTATTGGATTCGGTTTTCAAAATAAATGACTAATTTTGAATGTCTTTGACCCTATTTTAAATAAATATGAGTAATTCTTAGATTATATTTATTTAATCTTTTTTATACATATTTTATAAAAAATAAATTTCTATTGATTGTAAAAATTATTAAATGGGAATACCGAATGATTCATTTTTAGTAATCAAATAAGTTTTCAAGTCGTATAGTGCTAGAAATATAATAAATCATTTGCGGCAAAAAGGATTGCAAGTGATTCCTGGAAAATGATCATGTTATTTAGCTAGAATAAGCGTTATGCAGTATCAGTAGTAGTTGCAATAATAATTCTTTATTCACTTTAATACAATACCATATTAGTTTAATATCATTTTAGCCTCTAAATCTTATTAAAAAGTAGTAAATGTAACGGGAATTACGGAGAAGCTCAAATCCAATCCTCTCCTACACATAAAAAAAAGCTATCTGTCCTGTTCTCTCCCTCTCATAGACACAATTAGGGTGTGTGGATAGGGAGCATACTCCTCCTCCTCCTCCTTAAGTTGTTGTTGTTTTTGGCTGCTCCTACGCTTATCCATTCGCTCTCTGCATTGCCTCCTTCGTTCCTTCTGTCTCCTTCTGCTTCTTTCGTCGCAGCATTGTTGTTGCTGTTGCGTGTTGGCGTTGGCAGACAGCATGGCGGCATCGGCGTTGTCGATGCTTTGTTGTTGCTACTGTTACTGTGTTGCGACTTTGGCCACACTGAAAAACATAATTGATAGAAAAAGGACAAGGTTAAATTTAAAATATATATATAAAAAACTCTTACTCCTTAGATATGTGAAATACATGTAGCTACTTCGTGTGAACAGGCAACAGAGAAGTGAATAATAATTAAATTAAGGAGTAGTAGTTACTGGGAATAATTTCAAGTTTATCACAAAGTAAACTCGCCAAGAATTGATAATAAAACTTAGTACTATCATAGTGTTTTTTTTCTGTCTGTGCACACAAGTTTTCCCGGGTAATGGAAATTTTATGCAGATTGGAGCAACAACAACGAGGCTACCTAAGCTAACCAACCGCAAACGTCCTTTCTGATAAGGGTTGTCCTCGACACACCGCTTCCTTTGCTGCCTAACTGTTAATGTATTTTTGGCCACCACTGTGTGGCTGGCAATGATGACTCATCGCCATTTCGTTTCGTTGTTCGTTCACAATGCAATGTGGAACACAGAGAGCGAGACAGCCAGAGAGAGTGGGTGGTGGGTTGGTGGTTGGATGGGTGAACGGTACAGCCGCATCGATTTTTCGGTTTGCTTCTTATTGTTGCTATTTATTGCGCCGCCAACGGCACTTTTCACCCCTCTCTTTCTCTCTGGCGCTGTTTCGTTTTGGCATATGTTCTATTTTTGTAAACATTTCGGTTCCTGTTTATGAGTCATCCATCGTTTCGCTTTTATTGGGTTATCCTTGTGCGTATGGCCTCGACTGTTGGTACTGTTTATTATTGTTGTTGGTGCGGATGTCAGGTGCGGGGAGCATCAACAGCTGCTTAGTATCTTTTTCTGCTTCTCATTCTAGCTCATCCCCTCTCTTCGTTTTATTTGCATCTGTCAGATAAGATTCCTCGATTGATTACATCTTCTTTTTGCCATTACACAGAAAGAAAAAATCAAATAAAATTATTATTGTTTCATCTCAATATAAATATATAAATTTAACGTGCATAAAAAAAACAAAAAATGTAGTGATATAGTTCTTAAAAAAGTAAATGCTTTTTGATTCGTTTTTGGTGCCTCCGCTGAATTATTTCTCTTCACTTAGCCTCTTTTTATCCATGCTCAAGTATTATTTTTATAAATGCTCTACCTCTCTCCCTCTCTCTATCTCATTCACTCACACCCGCGCAAAAAAAAAACACATTAGTACTCAGGCACGAAGTAACGGTGGGTGGGGTGAAGGAGAAGTAAAAGAAGAAGGAGGTGGCAGCGGTAAAGAAGAAGAAGACGAGGGGAAAAGTATATGTATTTTGTACTGAGTGCATGAGTCATGATTTCGCTTCTCTGTTTGGGTTTGTGTGTGTTTGCCCCTGCCTTTTGCGCATTCGTTTTTGGTTTGCCGTCGTCACCTTATGCCTATTATTATTGTTTTATTTCGCTTGAATATATGCTCTACCCCCTTTCTTCTTCTTCTTCTTCTTCTACTACTTGATGTGCTTCCTCTTATTCGGTACAACTTATGATTTCTCATTGTTGCGTTGCTTTTCGTTTTCCATTCATTATAACAGCACTTTGTGTGAGAAGAAGGGGGAAGGGAAGAGGGTGGATCGAAAGAGGAAGCACCGCTATTTTAAAAGCAAAGCTTGAAATGAGCTCAACGCCGGCTGAGGCACCGGCAGAGCACCGACAGAGGCTCATTAGGCGACAGCAGAGTTCGAGGCCCCAATTGTTGTTGTTGTTGTTGTATGTAGTTGTCGGATAATGCTAATGTCATTATGCTGTGTCATTAACATGAATGATAAAACCAAGCCGAGCTACTTGGCCTAGAAAGCAATCAAAGCCTCAATTGACAGGAAATTGAACGGTATTATTTTGCCTATCGCACTTGTAATCATTTTTTGGACATAACAAGGACTTCTTTGGGAACTAGAAAAGTCTCCAAAATACATATAGCTCTACAAAAAGATGAGAGAAACGGTTCAAAATCATATTATATAAAATAATACAAGATTCAAACAGATTCTAATATACGAGAGAACTTAGATCATATTTCCCTCAAGGTAAACAAATATTTGTTCCGTCTAAATAAGGCCAAGAATACAAGCTACTAAGGTAAATAAACGCCAAATAGCACTGTTTAAATGCGAAATAGCATAGATGTTCCCTTGAAGTGCTTTTATAGACTTGCTCGATCTTTCCACATCCTTCACAGCGACGAGGTAGGTATCTGCTGCGAAGCAGAGAGACCTAATCAATTTGTCAAGTTATCGCCACGATGTCTGTACTGACTGTACCCGCTTATTATTTGTGCGCCAAGTTATCAAGTTATCAAGCCATCAACTTTTATCTGCTGAAACGACGAAGGAGGCCTCTTTGGCGAACTAACTTAATCTAGAATGGAGCATATATAGAATATATACGGTTACGGTTTACGTTCACGGGGACATTTACGGGTACCAGTACGGGTTGTGCACACACCGTCGCACAAGCAGCTAAGTAAACTGGAAACGGAGGCCCCTCGAGAACATTTGGTGATAGCCACATTCTATATACATACAGTTGGACAGCTGATTAGATAAAACTATGAATGCATATGTACAAATATATAACAACAGAGTTGCGGTTAAAACAAATTGGAGGTTACCTATTTCCTTTTGAAAAGTTAAAGTTGAATCTACTCGTCAAAACCAGCTGTAACTGACGGATAGAAAGAGGCGAGAACTCGATAAATCCTTTGACTAATGAGTAATCGAAAATCCGTTGGCAGACAACAAACAAAACAAAAAGAAGCAACAAAAATCCCGAGGTGACATTTTTGTTGGCCCCCGTGTGCACATAATTTCAATATTCGTCAGCGGGCTATTTATAAAATGCAAAAAATCAAGAAAGCAAAATAAACTGAAAATCTTCGCACAGGAATTTTGAATTTGAAATTTGCGTTGCGCCTTCTTCTTGTTATTGTTGTTGCGTTGGGCGCATGAGAAATGCGAAATTATAAGGCACTTAATCATTTTACAAGGAACCCACGCCCACACTTCCTCGTTTCCTCTTTGCACGGGAAGAAAAAGAGACCAATATGTGGCTTTTTTATATATGAATTTATAATTTTTTAATATTTTAACCTATTTCAATGAGGGCCATATCTCCATCTCCCATCATGAAAACTGTCTATATATTTTGAAATCATATAAAACCAATTCATTGTGTACTTATTCATCAATACCTTCCTTTTGAGACTTTTGCGCCCGCATTTTTTATTTTCATAGTGTTTTTATTTTTTTTGCGCGCAATTTGTTTATGAAACATTTCGTTTGTTGTTTTTGCCGCTGCGCATGCTCTTTATGAATCACTCGACGAGGAGAGCCCTGATCCATCTGGCTCCCTCGCTCACTGCTCACTATCCGATATGTTGAAGCTAAGTTGAAGGCGACTTCAAAGTGCAAGCAGTGCTGTTGGAAGCTTTTGTTGTTTCCGTATGACTCGACGACACGTCAAAGTCGAGATTCGCCAAGTTGAAGGTCAAGTTGAGATCCCCACACTCTTTGTTTTGGATGATGATTCAGCGCGGCGGCGTCTTATCGCCATTTAAGTGTCCTGGCACCTGCCGCACTCCGACTCACACTCTGACTGTCTCTTTCGGTCGCTGTATGGCCGTCTCTTTCTGATTGAATCAGAAACTCGTATGAGTAAGCGGGTATTCTTAATGATAAACAGTCGCCGAAAGTAATTAAATATTTCGGATATAAACAAAACTACTTGTTGCTTGACAACGTGCTTTGGTTAAAACAGCGTAGAGCATAAAAATAGCATCGGATTAAGGTAAATCCAGTGATAAGAACGAGGATGTGATTATTATATTGATGATTCTTTGAAGTCTCAAAGCTTAAATGAAGAAGATTATGAAAAATATGAGTATTTTCAATTTCCAATATTTCATTTTTAGATTTTATCCCAACTTTATTAATCCTCTTTATATTTGCTATTTCCCTGATTAGTACTGTAAAACATACAACAACTCTTTCATATATCATGTTCCCGGTGCTCAAAGGTTGTTTCTGTTTCTGTTTTCAATTCTGATTCCGATTCTGATTCTGTTGCCGTTTCTGTTTCTGGCCATGACTCAGAGGGAGTTGCGAGAGTTTCGCGCCCTGAAACACTTTTTGTTGACCCTAGGGTCCAAGATCCGGGAGTTAATCATCACGAGAAAAAGTGAAATGATGCATTGGACAAGTGGACATTGAGAACCAGAACCAAAAAAGAAAAACGACGCGACAGGCAGTCATCATTGTCTGGCGAGACAGCGATACCATACCCCACATATAGCAATCCCATACAATACCATCTCATCTCATCCTCATCCTCATCCCATCGCAAAGGCATCCCAGCTGTCAGACAGTCGTCTGCCACTTGGCCCACTTCTGAGCCGATATGACCAGATGACGCACCCAAATGTGTCCGACAATAAAAAAAAAAAACAGAAAGAAAACATCGCTACTGTTGCACTTAATCATACATTCATCGGTGTAAGAATTCGGTGACTACCCAAAGTTGGCATTACGCATCGCCCCCTAAAAATGGAGTCACGACTCTCAGCCCTTCGGAATGGTGGCAACGTGCAGTCCCATAGTAGACACGACTCCCCGGGATCTATCAGTCATTCACAGTCATCGCCTGAAAATGTGTGCTCCGGTGAACTAAGGCTGTTTAGTCATACTGTATGTAAGGCACTATTGGCGATTAGTAATTCCCCACAGCATATATGGTCGCATATTTGTCATGAACAATAAACAATTACCAAAGCACCGCTTCTCAATAATCGATCAAAGATTCCGCTTCGAGTTCCGTTTTCTCTAAAAAAAAACACAGAAGTATGGAAAAACAACTAAAAAGATAAACAAGCCAAATTGGCTCTCATGATATGTATCCATGATCAACAGTTTTAGAAGATTAACTGGATTTGATGATAATGTACTTAGAACAAATCAATCCCCAACTATACTAACTTAAAGTTCTTATTTCTTAATCATTTCTTATAGTTAAATAACTCAGTTCCTAACTCTTGTAACTCTCAGTGTTTAAATTGAACTTGAGACCAATTAGCTAGAACAACTTTATAGTGACTCAAACTAGTGTTTTGCGAAATTCATTCATCATTTACAGCTACCTCTGGCCAGTTTTTTTGCGAAACTCCTCAGCCCCAAGTCTTTCTGCATTATTATTTCTTGGTCTTGGTCTCTTCTAGCCCGAATGAGTCACATATCATATGGTGTGTTGTGTGTGCGAGACAGGCGCGTTTACGGCGCGTTTTATGCGCGATTTTAACTGTCTGAGCGACGGGGTCATTAACTAAGAGGATTTATGAGCGCCGTGCGAACAGAACAGAAACGGAACGGAACGGGGACGGTGACCAATTGTCTGCCATTGTACGCTTAATGACCATCTTTCTTTATCTGTGCGTCTATCTTTTCGGCCTCCCCGTGATCGGTGGATCTATTTTTGGCCAAGCTATAGATTGGTCATCTCTTTATTTGCCGATTTTGACTCCAACTTTTGTGCACTCGAAGAAAAGAACTACAAGGTTTAAGATAGTATTAACCTACTATAAAGATACGAGTATATCATATCTAACCCTTAAGAAATTATATTTCATATATTTAAGATATCATCTGTAATATCTAACAGTTGTGGCCTGTCAGTTTCTTTTGTCAAAAACCTCAGCCTAAACCTAGTTTTGTGAATCCCCTTCTTAAGCCAAAGCCATGACAAATTGCTTAACTTTTAGGGGCTTTCTTTTGAGCTAGTATAGTAGTCTCTGATGCAAGAAACCATTTGAGAACTCTGACGTACGCACTTCAGGTTCATAGGCACTCAGACTTCACCCTTTTCAATGTTTATCTTTGAATAGTAGTTGATTACTTATTTATGATGGATTTTCCCAGGGTACCGGTTATAGTCTTGATAACACGCTTAACTCGATTTGATTTCACTTGACTGGGGAGTGTAAACTGCAATTCATAATTGTGGTCGAAATTTGTGAAATCGAAGTTGTGCGGTAGGGAAGGTAGGGTAGGTTTCCTTATCGCTGTGTCTACTTTGCACCCCCCTCTATTCATTGATAAATCAAACACACTGCTATCTCTCACCTCTTCAGATCGATGAAATAGGGAAAAAGGGGTGGGTCTCCAGGGGCTATTCTATATATATATTATATATACATAGATATAGTGAAGGCTGTCTGACTGACTGACAATATGGCTGCAGTTACACGCGCCTTCCAGATTTATCGCTGATATCACCTCCTTTGCTATATGGCCAAGGGGTTTAATTTATAATGGGGTGTGAGCCGTGTGCACTGTGAGAAAAAGGAGGTACGGCTGGGGGGGTGGAAGTAGGCGCCTGGTGACTAACAAGGCTTCGCTTCTGCCCGACTGGCTGGTTATCAACTGTTTGGAAATCAGACAAGTGTTGCCTTGTTTGCATTATGAGTAAGCATCGATTAGGAAAGGCTCCCCCAGTCCCCTATAAAAACCCCTCTCGGAAGCCACCAATAATTTTGTTGTGCTCACAGCACCAACACCACAAACTCAAAATCACACCACAACCAATTCCTGTGCGATAAGATAATTCGTATTTTTTTCGGTGGTGGCTTAATGTACCTACAGTCGAACTCCTATAAATAGTATAGGTAATTATATTGTCATAAGTAGACAGGAAGAATTATAATAAGTATGATCTCATGTTTGAATTATAACATTTTCCATTTCTGTATTCTATATAAATTCTTTTGGGTAGAGTTTCTGAAATTAGCATGATAAACTTAAAAACTTAAACGTACTATTCTTTAGTGTTACAGATTATTCACTTCATTTAGTTTTCACTGTACATTATTATGTGAGCCTTGGAAAAAAGTGCGCCGTATGCTGCGATTCTTCTGGGTTCTTTTCCTCTTCCTCCTGCCGCTTATCTTTGGCCAAAAATAACAACGTAAATTATGAGTTAATGTGCCCACGTGTGCGTGTGTGTGTGTGTCTTGTGTGAGAGAGTGAGTGTCTGCGCGTGTGAGGGTATAAAAATGTTCTGTCAATAAGCCTCGTCGCTTTGTTGTTGTAGCCAATGATGATGACTCATATCAGCAAAATTCACACAGTTAAGTTGCCGAGCGAGAGAGTATGAGAGCTTAAAGAGAGATATAGAGGGAGAGCAGCCCACCAATACAATGAAATTATCGACAGGGCGATATCACTACAACGACAATATCATCGAAGCTTCCACGTTCGACATTCAAAATTCAAAAAGTTTCTCCGTCTTCGCCAGAGATGCAAACTGAAAGCTATAAATATCTAAACAAAAAGGCTAAATAAAGAATTTTTAAGCTAAGAACTATACAAAATTTGAAAGACTAATTTAAGCTTAATTGAGAACCTTGTCATTGCATCTTATATAATATCAAAATATTTTGGTAATATAAAAGAGGCATAGAAAAAACTTCATCAGTCAAGGGCGTCGTAGTATGATAAGATATACCATAATCAATCGACACCCATTTCCATCTTACCAAATTTGGTATCAAAACCTTTTAACCGTCTTATCAATCACACTAAAACGTTTCTTTTTATTTTGATATTTTGCAGAAGATGCAAGGAAAACTGGTTCTCGTGTGCTGTTGCACTGCCACGCAGGGATTTCGCGCAGCGCCACCATCGCCATCGCCTACGTCATGCGGTACAAGTCGCTCTCCCTGCTGGAGGCCTACAAACTGGTGAAAGTGGCCCGACCGATTATCTCGCCCAATCTTAACTTCATGGGTCAGCTGCTGGAGTTGGAGCAGAACTTACGAAAGAGCGGTGTCCTAGCACCCGCAACCCCGCATCTAAATAGTCCTAGCAATCCTTCGGGATCTTCAGTGGGATTAAGCACCCCATCTAGTCAACTGGTGGAGCAGCCGGAGGAGGAGGAGATCGAAGAGAAACGTGATCATGGCAAATCCAAGTCGGATAGCGAGGCTATGGACGAGGACGTGTACGACTACGATGAGGTGGACAGTGGTGCTGGCAGTCTGGCTGGCAGTAATTGCTCATCCCGCCTGACCTCACCCCCGATAACCCCAGATGACGAGGCGCCCAGCACTTCGGCGGCAGCATCGTCGGTTTCGGAACTAGATTCACCCAGCTCCACAAGCAGCAGCAGTGGTATCTGCTCCCCGCTCCAGTCCACCAGCTCATCCGTATCATCCTGCACAATCAGCAAGCCAAATTTACTGTCACCTACGAGGCAGTTGGCTTTGTTCAAGCGAAATTCGCCCGCAAAACTGCGATTGGATCTGGAATCCAGCTATGCGCCCGCGTCACCCATCGCAAAGTCCATGCCCTGGATCTCGGTGCCATCAACGCCCCTCTGCGAGGAGGCACCTGAAAGCAGGATGAACCATTTGGCCAGCAGCTCGACGAGGGACTGAGATAAGGTCCCCGCCAAGAGCCGCCGCCGCCAACTAGCAGCTGTGAAAAGAAAGAAAATGAGCAGCCAATTGCCACTTTCTTTATGATCAAAATTAGAATTGATAAAACTGTATTTGTTTTCAAAAATATGTGGAAAATGACCAAAATCTTAAGTATTTTATGATTACAAAACTACTGAGAAAATGTGGATTTTATCAAATCAAAAACGGCAAGAGGGCTGCTACTTCCTATAAAACAAGGTGATGCTAAAAAGGTATAAATGTATATCAAGCCACCTGTGCAACGTGTAAATAAATAACGTTCATAAAACTGTACATACAAACGTACCTAAAGCAAAAAACAAGGGAAAGGAATACCAATTGCAGCTTAAAACTACATGCAATAATTTTTAAGGGCTTTTGTAATGTATTTCTTCTTCGGATCCCTGAACCAACAACACAAAACAAAAACAACTAAAGTTATCCAAAACAACCAACTGGAGAAATTGTTTAAGAGAAAAAAGAAAACCTCGTATATGTTAATTTAGTTTAATTTTAGTCGTAAGAGAATCTTAACTATACCTATTACACACATAAACTATATTAAACTTCACATAGAACAATGAAAATCCAAAATGCACTGCAACCAATTTCTGCTGACTTGCCACACACACAAAAAACGTACCCCTTATTATTCCCAAAAACAAAAAAGATTAGAAAAGCCCGCCATATACACAGCAAAGATCTTATCAAAACTGTTCTAAGTTTTATCAATCCGCTATAGCCACACCTTACACCTTTACACTTAGTTACTTCATGAGGAAAGTTTGTGTTTTCTAGTTTTAGTTATTTATATGAAGCGAGTGCGTGAGAGGATCCTGAATGTGGTTTTATTCATTTGTATTAGGCCGTAAGTCTAATAGGCTAAGCTACTACACCAGAAAAGTGTAACCCGTGTTAAGTAAACGGAAATTATAATAGTAACCAAACCAACTGCTGTTTTCATTTTGATTTTCAAACAGGACCGCCAAAGTGATAAATAGTGCTGCACATTCCGGATATGAGAGGAGAACATTACTACTGTGTTGCCCTGCAGCGCTGCCAGCCCTGGCAGATAAGCTTGAAAACATCGATAGCTATCGTTTATATCGAATGATACTAATAAATACCGGGGAGTCCCAAAAGTTTTTTGAAATAAATAATTTAAAAATTATGAATATATTAAATACTAAAAGTTAAATTAAATAATAATCTTAACAATCATCATAAAACCCTAAAACGATTTTGGTTGCCCTTAATTTTTCGAATTATTTTATTCAACTTTCAAAAAATAAGGTTTAATAATTGAAACTTGGTTAAATTTGAAGTAGTTCTAAGAATTTTGATATTGTGTCGATTTTTAGACGATTAATTGATTGCTAATGATTAATCGATTGAACCCTAATTCCAAAGTGAATTACAACCCTGCTCCAAAAGCGTCTACCTTAGCGGTCCGTTTAATTTCCCCTTTGCCGTGCTTTTCGATTCGAAAACAGAAAGAGAAGAATACCAAGTATGTTTCAAATGTGGTCAATATTAGGATATTATTTTTTATTTTTGCAGGTTGTTTATAACATATCAACATTTTTGAGCCTCGAATACACACAAACGCACGCGAACTTTACCGTTTGAAAGAGGACAAGCAAATTGCAAAGTTTGCATTTTTCACGTGTTCTGCGTTGTTTTTCTTTATCTCATAATCCAAACAATATAAAACTTCGCGCTGATACAAATATGGATGATTGCGAGTGGGAAGATTTCGAAAATAATAATGAGAACGAGATCAGGACTCAGGCGTTCTCAAGGATGAATGATAAGTGCGTGAGAAGCCTTCGAAGCGGTGATAATTCTCGCGGCTACGGAGGTGATTATAAAAGGGATGATAGTCTCCGTGACTACGATAATTACGGAGGACGACGTGAAAAGCGAGGCAATCGCGATAATTACGGCGGAGAAGGAGCTTTTAGCGAGTCCTTGAGAATCGATTCAGAAATGATCGGAAAAGTCATTGGAAGAGCCGGATCAAACATTTCCCGGATTCAGACCGATTTTAATGTTCGCGTTAAGGTGGATAGGTGCGATTTGATGGTCAAGATATCGGGTAGCGACCAGAGCAATGTCGCTGATGCTATCAATCATGTTCGAAAGCAGATCGGTGAGTCGAGGAATAGAGGAAGAGATCGGGAAAGTAGGAGCTATGGTTCTTATGGTGGAGATGGAGGAGGCGGTAGCGGATATGGCAGATCTAAGGGTAGTGGCTATCAGTTTAACCCCCCTTCTCCCAGGCCAATCCAGGGTGATGGAGATCTCACCGGCACCATCGATTGGGCAGGCTTAAACAAAGCTTCGGTGAGTAAAATTAAAAAAAAAAAAATTTTTTAAGAATCAATCTCCTCCAAAAATAGTGATTGTCGAATTCAATAATCTTAATATAATATAATTTCTAATTATAAATAATAAAGAGTTATAAAAGCACACGACTAACTTATATAGATAGGTACAATCAAGTCTTATCGGCTTCAGTATTTCACAGTTATATTTAAAACTCGTGACACACAAGAAACAGCCAGATAATGTCATAATATATCCGTCATAATACTCTAAACCCCATTTGAATTCGCATGAATCCTTGCAGGAAGCAGCTACTGCGGCTCGCTGGGCCAAGTGCCCGCCGCTGACAAAGAACTTCTACAAAGAGGCTCCCGAGGTGGCCAATCTTTCAGACGTTCAGGTCGAGCAAATTCGTGAGAGGAATAACAAGATCACAGTCTCGCATGTTTTCGAACCGAAGGAAGGAGAAACTACAACGCCCATTCCAAATCCTATTTGGACCTTCGAGCAATGCTTTTCTCAATATCCGGATCTGCTGGGCGAGATCACCAAAATGGGTTTCACCAACCCTTCGCCCATCCAATCGCAGGCATGGCCCATTCTTCTCCAGGGACACGATATGATTGGCATCGCCCAAACTGGCACAGGAAAAACATTGGCTTTCCTTTTACCCGGAATGATTCACACGGAGTATCAGAGTACGCCCAGAGGTCAAAGGGGCGGTGCCAATGTGCTGGTGATGGCTCCTACTCGAGAGCTAGCTCTGCAGATTGAAATGGAGGTGAAGAAGTACTCCTTCCGCAACATGAAAGCGTAATTATAATCAATGGCAAACTGATCGGAGTAAACACTAACTTTATTTTAATTTTAACTAACATGGGATTAATTTCCAGTGTTTGTGTATACGGCGGCGCCGATCGACGCATGCAGATTTCGGACTTAGAGCGTGGTGCGGAGATTATCATCTGTACTCCGGGACGTCTTAACGACCTGGTCCAGGCCAACGTTATTGATGTAAGCAGCATCACTTATCTGGTGCTCGACGAGGCAGATCGCATGCTGGACATGGGTTTTGAACCGCAGATCCGTAAAGTAATGCTGGATATTCGTCCGGATCGTCAGACTATTATGACTTCGGCCACTTGGCCACCCGGAGTTCGCCGTTTAGCGCAGAGCTACATGAAGAATCCCATTCAGGTGTGTGTTGGCTCCCTTGATCTGGCAGCCACGCATTCGGTTCAGCAAGTGATTGAATTGCTTGAAGACGATTGTGAGAAGTTCAACATGATTAAGTCCTTCGTTAAGAACATGAACAAGACGGACAAGATCATCATTTTCTGCGGGCGCAAGGCTCGTGCCGATGACTTGTCAAGTGATCTCACGCTAGATGGCTTTATGACCCAGTGCATTCACGGTAATCGCGATCAGAGCGATCGTGAGCAGGCTATAGCTGACATCAAGTCGGGTGCCGTGCGCATTCTTGTTGCCACCGATGTGGCATCGCGAGGCCTGGACATCGAGGACATCACGTAACCAATAATATTTCATATACAGACTTAATAATATTTATCGTTTATTATAGTCATGTCATCAACTATGATTTTCCGCGCAATATCGAGGAGTATGTTCACCGTGTGGGACGCACTGGACGTGCTGGCCGAAAGGGCGTCTCGATTAGTTTTATAACTCGTGAAGATTGGGGCATGGCCAAGGAACTAATTGATATCCTCCAAGAGGCGGAGCAGGAAGTGCCAGATGAGCTGCACAACATGGCTAGGCGTTTTCAGGCCATGAAGGATAGACGCGCAGCTGAAGGCGGCGGACGCAATGGCCCCCGACGATTTGGCGGTGGTGGATTCCGCAATTTCGATTGAATCTCGATGTTGACATTTTGTAGTTTTAAAGAGACGACAGTGCATTTAAGTGCCTTGAAATGTTGTTTAAAACTAGATTTAATCCAAAAATAAACCCAGTGTGGGAAAGTAAAAAGGAAGATTGAGATGGTCCTTAAAATGAATTAAGGTTTTAAAAACCAATACAATACCATTTTCAAACGCCTTTTATTTACTACCAATATAAAAATGAATTACTACCAGATTTTGTAAAACCACTAAGAAATTAGAATGTTTATTGAGCTTAGTTGGAACCACCGACATATTTCTCCAAGAGCTCCTGTTTCCGCTTGCGCAGGAGGGCTTCCTGCACGTCCTGTTGCGTAGGCACTGGCACATGGGCGGTGAATTTTGGAGCTAAGAGGCCATGAGGATCCTCAACTGCAGCTCGAGCCTTGGCATCCTCAATGGCTTCACGAGCTGGTCCCGATATGGGATATATTTCGTCCTCTTCCTCGTCATCGATAATGCGACCATCTCTGGCCATTTTCTCGCGCCATTCCTGCACTGCCTTCTGGAGAGCTGCTCGTTCGATTCGTTCCTCCAGGGGAATAAGAACGCCATCTTCGTCATCCCGATAGCCATAGTACTCGGCATCTATATCCTTCATTAGTTCAGCGCGGGATTTCCTGGGCGGTGGCGGTGGATCCTGTTCGAAGAGCTCTCGAACTCCCGGTAAATCTTTGGCTGCTCCAAAATATTTATAACCCCGGTTGCCGGGCACTTCACGTCCCTCAGCATCAAACATCTTGGGTCCATATCTTCGATAGTGAGGACCACCCAATGCAGATATCTGATTTTCCCAATGACGCTTTTCTCGCAGCAATTTATTGATTTCATCATTGAGATCACGGATTCGGAATTCACCCAAGCCAGCTGTAGGCAGTGAATATTAGTATAAGTCTTGATGAAAACATAAAAGACATAAATACCGTTTTGTATTTGAGCGACTTTCTTGGATATATCTCTTATAATCTCCAGACGGAACTTTTCACATCGCGGCAAATCATGACATTCGGAGGCCAAGTAAGGCCGGCGCTCCTTTTCACCGGATTCCACTTCTTTGGCGGCCCGCCAACGTGCCAAAGTTGTCCTGTTCGATTAGAGTGGGTAAGTTTTGAGAATTCCATAATTTTTTATTTATAAGTTACTTACATTGCCTTCTCTGCATTACGAGCCTGAAATTGAACATTTATTATACATTTTAATTAAAATTTTATAATTTAACGCAAGACTTACCATTTTGTTTACTATCTTCTTCTACCTCAACTACCAGTCGCCACGAAACGTATAGAAATGTATTACTCTGTTATCGATAGGAAGTACAGTGAGTACTGTTTACTAAGGATTTTTAAACAGGTTCCCTCTTGGTACTGCTTCCAATTATGGGGCTTCAGACTCTAACATCATGGCAGTATCTGACGATCTCTGGATCTCTCCTAAATCAGTAGTTATAAGTTATAAACATTTGTCCTTCCCGTTATGTATTTATGTTATTTGTTCAATATTATACTCAACGTATTATAGCAATTAAGTTGGCTGATTGACGTTTAATACATGTATTTATTTGTTATATGTACTAAAAAAAAATATAATTTGTTCTTAAAATTCCTTAGCATTCACCGCGAACCACCAATTAGTATTGGGTGAACTCTGGTGAATCAATATTTTGGTACTCCCGCGCACTTGGTCACACTGACCTGCCCAGTTGTTTTTTCACGCCAACATTTACGCTCTTTGGAAAAGGAAACCTTTTTTTGCAAATTTAACCAGATCCCGACCAGAAACACACCTGCCCCAGGATGTTGGCCCTCATCAACAGGATCCTCGAGTGGTTCAAGAGCATCTTCTGGAAAGAGGAGATGGAATTGACGCTCGTGGGGCTGCAATTCTCAGGGAAGACGACGTTCGTCAATGTTATTGCAGTGAGTATTTTGCAGTGGGTGTGTGCGAATTTGTACGGGTGTATGGGTGAGAGGAGGGTAGTTTTTTTTTTGTTGTGCAGAGGGGGAGAGGGTGCAGAGAAAGCCGGGGGATCAACTATGACTAAATGTCGGTTAAACCAACGTCCTAGTCACAAAGGAATTGATTAAGTCCATTGACTTTCCCACTTTCACCCCTTTGGCCAATGTCTTATCTTTCTATACTCGAATTTTCTTTCACTGCATTAATAATTAACGCTGTGCTAACCGTTTTATTTTAGTGGTAAAGTTTACTGTTCCTCCAGGCCTTAATCAATAAACCTATACACTTAATATACGCATGCTTTCCGCACAATGACGCCATTATCAGCGCGGCGACCCCCTGACCCCGCCTACAGAGTACCAAGCCGCCCACTTTTCTTCTGTTTTTTTGTTTTGGTCAACCATTTTTGCACGCTGATAAAGCGACGATCTGAAGTTTCTAGCTTGAAAATCGTAGATAGTTATAGAATTTCCCTATCATATTTTGGGGGGAGGTAGGTGGAGTTACTGCCTTTGTTACCGCCTGACTTATGAGTCATGTGAATTCGATTTAAATGTGTACCCGCATCCACTTGGCATTTTGTTATTTGCTCAAATGCTCCTAAATCGGTAGTTTTCCCCTCGCGCTTATCACTGTAATTAGACTCCGTCCGGGTAATCCATTGTTTATTCAGACTCATCCATTATTCTAATGCTGAGGTTGGGAATGTAAATAAACGAGCGTTTTTCGATTATTATTCACTTTCCCTCTTCATACGATTCTGTTTACAAAAGAGCTTTACATTTTCTTTGGTCAATATTAAGTTTAATAGATATTTACTTTATAGATTAAATTTAACATCCTATGGCAGCTATGGTTGTCAGTTTCTTGTCAAGATTTATTCTATATTGGGATTTGAAATAATTAGTTTTAACTTTAAACCGTTTTGACTCTAACTAAACTATTAAACTATATAAAATTAATTACCCACCTAACCAACACCAACCACCAATAATTGCTTTAAGTAATATTTGAATATTTTGGTTTTGGAATACTCTTATCCATGTATGTATTATTTTTAACTATTCTTTTTAAGGCTGCACATTGCTATGTGAATTCATTCAGTGAATGACTTTCGCTTTCTTTACTCATCTCAAAGTCCATGTTTCGACACCTTCAATTTTCCTGTTTAATAAGAGCTAAATAAAAACATTTACAAAATGTTGATAAGTTATGAGAACAAGTAACACACTTCGCCTTGCTTATAATTATAAAAACAAAAATATTAATTTATTTTTCAAATACTTTTTAGCACACATAAAAAATCTAAATGGAAATATATTAGATGCTGCCCATGTAAAATTATTGTTTTGACATGAGTCTTACAAAAACTTCCAATTGCATACTTTTGGGCATAATTTAGTTTTCTTTTAGGAAGAAATGTTATATGTATATTCTGAAAACGGTGTATCCTTAGCATTACAATGTTAAAAGTTTTTCTCCTTATTCTCAGACTTAAGTTAATATGCTATATATTCTTCTTAATTGCAGTCCGGCCAATTCGCTGAGGACATGATACCCACAGTTGGCTTTAACATGCGAAAGATCACCCGTGGCAATGTGACGATCAAGGTGTGGGATATTGGAGGCCAGCCCCGGTTCCGATCCATGTGGGAGCGATATTGTCGCGGCGTTAATGCGATTGTGTAAGCATTAATGCTAGTTAAGCAACAATTTAAAGCCAATTAACACTGTTATGTTATTAATCGACAGCTATATGGTGGATGCGGCTGATCTGGACAAATTGGAGGCCTCGAGGAACGAGCTGCACTCTCTATTGGACAAACCGCAGCTTGCAGGCATTCCAGTGCTCGTGTTGGGCAACAAACGTGATCTTCCAGGCGCCCTCGATGAACCCGGGCTCATCGACCGCATGTGAGTATCGAAACTATGGGAAAAACTATCTAGAATATATAAAATTAATGATTAAAAAATACCTTTTTAGGAATCTATCAAGCATACAGGACCGTGAAATCTGCTGTTATAGTATTTCCTGCAAGGAGAAGGACAACATTGACATAACGCTGCAGTGGTTAATTCAACATTCGAAAAGCCAAAGTCGTTAGATAACGAACACCCACACACACACACACACACACAACTCCCTACCCTCTAAACTCACACACACTTAGGCACTATATCTCACACAGAACAACTATATATACATATATACACTAATAATAATTCGCAGAGTGATGAAAAAACAATGAGCAAAGCCAGCAGTAAGCCAACTATTTGGGGTACAAGATTGAAAAACAAACAAAACTGAAAACTAAAACTAAAACTAAAACTTAAACACAGCGAGTAATGACTATGCCTTGAAAAATCTGTTTGTACGTATGGTAATTGTCTGCATGTATGTGTTGTATGTGATTTTGCAGTGCAGGGTTCGGGTGCTCGACTGTCTCGAATTTGTAGATTCACAAAGGGGAGATGCTTAAAAAAGAATTCTGTGTATGTTGTAAGTTTTGTTAGTTAATCTATGCCAAGAAGACAAACACACAAGAACAAAAACACACACACACACACCACACACGCTCGTGTGTTTTAGTATTTCATACTGGCTTTAATGGACCATTTAACCCCTACAAAGTGTATATGTATGTCGCCTCTACAATTTCGTTGGCCGTCTCCACGTTTAGTTAGTCTTATGTTTAGTGTTTATTGGTGTGATTATATAAATATTATTTTTTTATAATTTTTGTATACAATATATAATTTACATTTCGCTTATATATGCTTCTCTCTATGCAAAATATTTATTTTTGTCTAAAACTTTTGCTTAGCGAAAACTGGAGAACTAAAAAGCAAAGGAAAAGCATAAAATATGAAGACGTTTTAAACTATAAATATATATATTTAAACAATATGAATGTAATAAGCAAGCGAAAGCCATAGTTAATGAAATTCCATGATTGATTGTAAAATATGCAAAACAAAAAAAAAAAAAAAAAAAAACGATAAAGAGAAAAAGAAAACAAATTGTTGAGTTTTTCTAGCTGCAGCCAAAAAACTAAAAAAACGCTGAACCCAAATTGAGATCCTTAAGCCTTGTCACGCTTTTCCTATACTCATTAACATTCACCTAGTTAATTATGATAATTTATATATATAAATATATGAAACAGCAATGCAAATTATAAACTACAATAACCAAAAATCGAGAATTCGAAAAACTGAAAACGAGCAAGGCATACAAACAGAAACAAACAAACAAACAGCGAGAAAACGAAACATAAATGAAAAACCAATAAAGACAAATTATAAAAACATTACAAAAACCCAAAGTGAGTCTCATAAATTACAGAAAAGCGATTGCCGAGCATCAAATATTCCAAACACTTGTTCAAATGTAATTTATAGAGGCAGAGGCAAGAGGCACCAGTGGCTGGCCACCCAAATGCAGACGTTGCAGGTTAACAATTGATAGATGCAGACAGCCCTATGAACGCATAAATATCGGCAATGGCCCCTGGCTAATTAGGAATTCTGTGTGCAGAATCAAGGCATTGCTACCGTAGGATGGCCATGGTGGGGAGGATGGCAGGGTCTCCGTCTTCCAGGAATACGTGTCAAGCACGAGCCGTGGTGAGTGCGCTGGTGAGTGAGTCATGATCAAATATTCTCATGCCCCATGTGTGGAGCTTCCTGCTTCCTTTGGAAAACCAAACGCTGCAATCTTCCTGCCTCACACGTTCGTTGCCTGAGTCTTTCGTTTTCTTTTGGTTTTCTTTTCTTTTTTTGTCGCTCGCCTCATATTTCAAATTGCGTTAATTACACTTTTAAATGCGGGGTATTAACAGTGCCAGCGATAAGCATCTCTCTTCGCGGCCATTTGCCACAAGCCAAACATTCGGCCATAACTCGAGGCGAATCTCCGAAAAAAAAATACGGCTAACGACGTGCTCGTAAATTTTCATACCAAAACTATAAACAAACCAAAAACAAGTTGAAAACATTTACGAACATTACGCATATGCCCTCTGCTTAGATGTCGTACAAAAATCGTAAAGACAAGTAGACAGTGTGGTTCATAGCTTTAAAACATATACCTAAGTGATGGAAAATTTGTCTAATGCCTGTCATTAACTCTACGGATTAATTAACTGATTTGCTGACTGGTTTTTAATCGCAAGTTTATCTTTATCTGATTTAAAGTTGTCAGCGATAGCAAATCGAATTGAATTTTTACTTGGTAATTTATCAATATTTCTTAATGAGTAAAAAATGAATAATAAGTTTGATTTTTTACTCTATTTTAGCATCACGAGCCCCACTGTATTTTTTGATGTGTTGAAAATAAAAATGATATTCTTGCTGCTGCCACACAAAGGCAGACGGTGCTTAGTTCTTTCTGCTTAATTTTCAGCGATTTGTGCGACTTGTGCTGATTATATAATGACAAATAAAACATGCCCAAACAACATTTAAATTTGTTGTAGCTGTTTTTTATATTTTCTGCGAGCCAGATCCATTCATTTGTATGCGCCACCGTTGCCATCATCGTGACTCCTTTGATGAAAAGCCGTCAGCAAATGCAAAAGAAAAAACTTAATGATGAAAATAAAAGCAACAAAAATTGAGAAAAGAATGAGCAAATCACATTAACAGCAAAAACTAGGCGGGGTGTTGACTATCAATTTACGCAGAAATACTTAATTTATATCTAGAAGATAAGTTATTAATTTGTGAATTACAATCTCATGGGATTTCTTGGAGATTTAGGACTTCGGCATGTTAGATGGAAAGATAGTTTTGGTTATAAGAATATTTATTTAATTATTTACCATTAAGAAGATACTCCAAGATGTTTGTGAAAGAGAGAGATCCCGAGATCCCCCCCTTTAACAAATTTTTTATTTTTCCCAACCTCCTCCGCCCTTCGCCCACTTTCTAACCAAATTGTTCTTAAACATATTTTAATTGAAGGCCCCCACAATGGTTGCTGCACGAGGCCACCAAAAGTGTGTCTGGCCCGAACATGCTGTGCCACCTGAAAAGTTCCTGGAACTGTGTGGCAAACGGACCCCTGCCCAGAAACAATAACCTCGAAGCTCTGGCATAAAGTTCAGACCTTAACAAGATGGAACAAAAGGCTGTCTGGCTGGTTGGTTGGATGCTCTACCGCGTACTCGCCAGACTCGTGGGCAACAGTTTTCATGTTTGGCTCTTATTTTGGTTTATTTTCTTTGGCCGAGACTGTCAGTAGCAGGATGCCAAGATTCGGATCCAGTTGGGGGCCCAAGAGAAGAAGAAGGCCAAGAGACGCGACGACAACTTGGCTGACAACAGGGCGAATGCAAATAAGTCTCTCAGCTTATTTCTGTTGAATTTGCTAAAACTCCTGGACTACGGCTGATTTCCACCTTCTTGCCTTGATTTATCTGGCATTTTATTGGCCAGCGCCATTTGCTTTCAACGACCATGGCCTAGACCATAATTTACGCATCTTTCCGTCGATGTTCTTCCCACGGCCTAATAAAGTTCTTCTCTTTCAGGTGTGAACCCAAGTCCACTTGCATATCCGAGAGGCAGCTTAATTGATGACAACATCTTGGAATTTTCGTTGGTATTCCAAAGCGAAGTTGTCGCCATGGTTCTTCGATTGACTTTGCCTTTTTGCTTTTTCCTTTTTGCATTTTGGGGGCCCAGCTGTTAAGGCCAACGTCGCTGTGGCTTGCCTTAGCTGGGCCAGGCTTGGGTTGGCTTGACTTGGCCAACTGAAATCAGTTAAATAATGAAACATTTGCACGATACTGGCGAATCGGAATCGGAATCGTATCGCTGGCCAACTTGAGCCTGGCCAAGGATAGTGGTTTTGGATAGTGGTAGGGAATGGCAAACAGAAAACGGCTAAAACTGCCAGCACAACGGCAGCAAAAGCTGCAAAAGCAGCCAACAATCAGCACAATCCGCAGTTGTATGGTGCTACATATCGTACAAGATTTCCGGGAATTGAAAACTGCTAAAAATCGTGTTTGATTTTATACGTTGTTGTTGCTGTGGTTGTCCGCTCCTTATGCATGCAATTTCAGGGGATTTCTCTTAGGTGGAGAAAGGAGGAGGATCGGGAGGACCTGCAGCATCTACGATACGCGTTCGTGGTTCAACATGCAATCGCAACAAACGAAAGCAGCTTGTTAACTAATTAAAACCAAAATATATGCAAATCAAAGGCCCCAAAAAGAATCCAAAAGGAGTCCTCTCGTCCTCTGGATTCTTTGGTCTTCTTTGGTTTCTTTTTCTTTTCACGGGAGAGCTGAGCTACTGTTTTGCGTTGGAGTTGGACGATCTTTTTTTTTTGGGGGCAATTAAGCGAGGCATGGAAAGAACGGCTGCCATAATGCTGCAAAATCGAGAACTAAATAGCACAAAGAGCATTGTGCAAAAATTAATTGCAACATTTTGAGCAGGGACCACCACCGCCAGTTAGTTTGCTGGGCTCCTGCTCCAAATGCAATCAATTCAGTATGGATTTCTGGCGAAGCAATCGATGCGGATTTACGAGTCGCCTGCATTTTGCCTTTTCGAGCCAGCCATTTGGCCCATTGTCGAGTGTCCCCCAGAGGGCTCCAAGATGATCCTGCACGGTGAGAAAAGTCACTGAGTTTCAACATGTATTTGGTGATAAAAGTCATTTTATAATGTTAGGAAGAAGTTGGTTTTTTGCGTGTTTAAAACTGAGCTAAGATTTGAAATCCTATAAGAACTAATAGATAATCCTCTGAACGTTTTATTCTCAGTGCATGACATGGTGGTGGGTGAGCTGCTCCATCCGCCGTCGTGGTCTTGTGTCTTCTGCTTAGGTGCGGACATATGTAAAACAAGCCATGAAACAACTGGCTGGGAGCAGGACTCTCCTCATTCGCATTCGCATTCTCATTCGGATTGAGATTCAGTTTCGGAAGTGAAATTTATTTTGCATACGACCATTCGCCCCACCGAGAAGCCATTGTCTTTTGTTTTCTGGCAATACACTCTTGGCTACTTGGGAGAATGGAGCACTCTGTGGGGTCACCGTCAGGCAAGTGCTCCTGGGAAACTTTTAGCTCGGCGCATATATCAGGAATGGGTTAAGGAAGGAGCCAGCCAGGCAGCCAGCTAGCAAGGAGCAGCCGTTTCGATTGTCACTGGGAAATTATCCAATTTTGTGGTTTGCATTCAAATTGACCAGCGGCGGCTGTCAATTTACCAAAGACCAATGAGGAAAGGTTGCGGGGTATGAGGACAGCGAAGAGGACTCGGACGAGTAGCTGTCATGTTGATGAATGCAATTGGCAATTGCCCCTGGAGCACTGGTGGTCCCAGTTCGTTTCGGTTTTAGTTCGGTTTTAACTCGGCTCCCGGGGGGTTCAGCCCGAAATCATAATCGCGATCTTACCGCGATCCCGATTTCGAACCCTTTTATTGCCTGCTTCCGGATATCCAAGACCATAAAATGCATGGCCAACGCCGTTTATTAATTGCATCAAGATCAACTTCCAAACGCCGCCAGCTTTAAAGTCAGGTATATATATATATATATATATATAAAACATAAACAAAAAGCTAAAACGAATATAAAATTGTGATAAGAAATTTCACTAATGAGTATTTACCTTTTGGGTATGGAATGGAGAGTGCGGCTTTGGCCAAGGCTTATTTGGGGTAGGGTTATAACTTATAAGCGCACGTTAACGTTAACGGGGCGTATGCTTAATGCTAGATTAGTATCGCGAATTTCATGTGCGCTGAACTTAACGGCTGATCGCTCATAAAATTAATCAAGCTGCTTTAGGCTACTTTAATGTTTTCAGCATTTTACATTCTCCGCACTCTAACATTGAAGGGGTATTTATGAATTAAAGTTTGGCTTAAATTTGGAATTTATGGGAGTAGTAGTATAATATTAATATAATTTATTGGTGAATAAAATATTTCTATAAAATAATCTTGGAAATGATGAAGATTATAGGTCCGAGACTAATAAGCCTTAAATATTT